TAAAGAAGTCATCTCCTAAAAAAAAAGATGCTCATCTTATTCGTTCAAAATTGAGGCAAGTGAGATGCTGACATGTATGCATCCCTAGAGTAGAAAATTTGATGAGCAACTTTGGTTGACCTAATGCATTTACACATATAAGCTTATCTTTGTTTTCTCCACAGTTTCTCAGTGTGGAGAAATTTTCGAATGCGATCAACGCCCGAACCCCTTTAGGACGTCCTGGAGAGCCAGAAGAGGTTGCAGCTGTGGTGTCCTTTCTATGCCTCCCAGCAGCTTCTTACGTAACTGGGCAGACTATTGGCATTGATGGGGGAATGAGCGTCAATGGCTTCCCTTTCCCAGAACCATGAATTCGAAATAGCACATACAAATGTGTCATAATCCAAATATAGCACTTGTAGGTGGCGCTAGTGCTAAATACCACAGATGGTGAATAAAATCTAGGTCGAGTGATTTCAATAAGAGTACTTTGGCTACTTTGGTCATTTTGTGTGTTTTTTTTATTTAAAAAAGATAATTATGTTGTGGCGTAAGAATGAACAACTGTTATATGTATTAACACGTGAGTGAGTCTTTCGTAAACAATATTTTCATAAGTTTAATTTACATTTTCTTTTTCGATTATCCTGATAGAACTTAATAACCGCGACATCAGTGAATGAGTGCATGTCTTCCCACAATTTTAGCGTACAGAGATTTGTGAGCCAATGAATTAGAAAGCAAATTCCAAAAGAACTTCTCAAAACATCTGCGCTCCATTACACGTCTCCATACTAAACTCATCCATGCATTATAAAGTTGCATATCACATTAGCATCCTTTTTTTTTCATTTTTTTTTAAAAAAACCCAAGATTATGAGAATTGTCAATAACCCTCTTGATTTCCCCTTCATTAATCAGCCTAAATTACACGGCTTGATAGTGTGAAAATGGGTCCAAACAAGCATATGGGCTGAGCGTGTGAAAATAGGTCCAACAAATATTTAGAAGAAAATCAATTCAAGGAAAGGCAATGACTTTCACACTCAAAAATTGTTAAAAGAAAGTTCTAATGTTACCCTAAAGATTTGACGTCCAAACGAATAAAAGGTTGTTTTCAGCCTTGATTAAGTGCATAATAATATGTTGGTTGAAAATGATGGATCACCTATTTACATGTGGAACAATGCTTCGCTAGTCAAGCATGAGTAAGAATTCCTCCTCAAAATTCTGTGTTCAAATTACAAACTTTTGTGCTTAAGATCAAAAGCATTTATATTATTAATCACATTATAAAGATCATATCTACAAAAATTAAATTAAAATCAAAGTTGTTTAGTCAATCAATTGTAGCAAATACATAGACGGTTTGTAATACTTTTATCAATTTTGTTCATCTGTTTTTATACAGTTTAATGACTTAAACAACCTTAATTTAAATTAATTTTTTGCACAGACGATCTTTTAGAGTTATTTTTGATATAAAAATTTTCATCATAAAGACGAAGTTTGTTGAATTGACAACGAGTAATTTAGAGTAGAAACTCCTACTCGAGCCAAAAATTATTCTTACATGAGGTTACTTTCATGGTGAAGAGGACGCAGTGGATACAAAGAGAATGATGTGTCTTAGTTCAAGAGAGTGACCCATCGAGTGAGCAACAATAAAAAACACATACATGGCCTAACAATAAAAAAGTCAAATAATTTTTAACCCCACGATACACGATGAATGGCTAAGATGTAGGGATCCCTATGATCCCCACAAAGTAGATCCATATAGGATCCAATTCCATTAAGGGCGCGTTTACTAATCTGTAATCAGATTGAGAGGAATTGGATTAAGGAGGAATTGAAATGAGGTGGAATTAGAATCAGATTCCTGATGGAGTTTTTTACTAAAACTGTCTGGAATCGGAGTAGGAATGATGTTAAGTCCATATAAGTTGTTTACTAATTCACTTCAATCGGAATTAAAACTAGTTTAATTACTAAATTGTCCTTACACAAATAAATTATTTTAATTAAATTTATATAATAAAATTCATCTATATCTTAATTAAATTAAATTTCTTAATCATATTCCCTTCTCCACCCAAACATGCCAATTACCAAATCCACCCCCTTACGCCTCCATAGCCCACCCTGCCTTTCCTTGCACTGCTCTTCACCCCCCACCTTTCCTTGTCCAATTGCACTGCGGTCTCGTTGCCGTCTCATACCCCAACTATCTTCAGCTTCCCCCTCTTATTTTTCCATCTACTTCTCATCTCCTTCCATCTCTCCCCAACCACACAGCCACTAGAATATACCCAATAACCACCATTGCAACTTCAATTCCAGGTGTTAGAGTGTATTTACCACCACTGGAGCTTCAATTCCAGGTGTTAGAGTGTCGTTCAATTGGCAAATGCGACATCGAACGAGTTTCAAATCCGTTCTTCACCAAAGACAACCCATTCCACCAACTCAGTCTTCGAAGCCCATCCATCTAGGGGTAGTTTGGGTATAAAAGTTGGATTCCTGGAATAGCCTTCTCACTGGAATCCAAATACCACCTCCATATAAGAGATCTGATTCCAGGAGATTTAAGGATCCAAATCCTGATTTTAAGTGGACCTCATCTTGTTTTTCATTCCGGAAATGTTAGTAAACGGCTTTAATGCCTAGAAAAGAATGCAATTCCATTTCTTGCCATTCCGTTCCGGTTTGGTAAACACGCCATAAATGTATAACATATATGTATACAGGTCTTTTAGGCAAAGGGATCCCCATTTCTTGAAAAAAAAAAAAGATTAGGTGTTGAGCCCACTTTATATTGAATTTCAACGATCCGAACCGTCTATTTTGTAAACCTCGATTCATAGATCATCCTTACAAAAATTCAATTCAATCCGAAATTATTTGCTTATTTAATTATCAAGATCAAATTTCATTGTTTTCTTGTATAATAAAGTATTCGTTCATTTTTTTGAACCCAATTAGATGTTTTAAATATTTCCGATTTGGTATATATTTTGCAAGAATGATCTATAAGGTATAACTTAAAAAATGAACAGTTTAGATCGTTAAAGTTCGATGTGATATTAACCCAACACCTAATCCCTATTTTTATAAAGAAATGAGGATATTAATACTGTTCGTCGCAGGAATCTCCTGGCGGACGAGCACACAGCTCCCCTGGGAGAATGGCGTCGGTTGAGGGTATCTGTCGTACTTCTGCTTTCTTCTCGGGCTCGCTCGGGCAAGCCTTTGTCGGGCAGATCTTGGTCGGGCAAGACACACTTCGGGCAAGGCTCGTCGGGCAGTTCTGAAAGAGAAGGACAGAGTTAATTTGAAAGGGTGCCTTTGTGGGGCCTTAGGTGTAGGCCTTAAGGCTCACAATCAAGATTAACTTTGTCGTGCTCAGGCGTGCCACTGCCATCTTCAGTATGGCAGATGTTGAATGGGTGTTAAGCTTTGATTGAATATGTATACGCCCGAGAAAACCAAGTTAGATATAACAGGTGCCTTTGTGGGGCCTTAGGTATAGGCCTTGAGGCTTCCTGTCAAACTAAACCAGCGCTTGGATGTATCATATTTGGTCTTTTATGGTTGCCAGAGTTTTATCACTATTATACCTTTGATTATCTGAATCTAAGAGGTAGGACGAACCCAAATGAGTGCCTTTGTAGGGCCTTAGGTATAGGCCTTGAGGCTTCCCATCAGAGTTAATCCTTATACTCGGACCAACTAGACCGCAACATGAAATGAAGCTAAATAGATGCCTTCGTGGGGCCTTAGGTGTAGGCCTTGAGGCTTTCTATCAGAATTCACTTCATACTTAAGCCTTTTCTACGAATCAAGATATAATAGCAACAAAACGGAGAAATAGATTGATTACTTGCGCCCCAAGTAACTTCGGACTTCTCGCTTATCAAGGATTGTCATGGATGGGTTGAGTCCACATAGAGTTCTTTTTTATGCCTTGAGGCCAAGGACTTTTAAACTGATCTTTAAATTACATGCCCGCCGGGCTTAAGACTTAGATCTGATTTGAACTCTGACGCGATTCAGATCGGATTCAAGTGCTGAAGACTCATTTTCATTATGACTTTGCTAGAAATAACTTGTATATAACTGGGAATATATAACATGTTATTGTGCTTTTAAAAGAAAGAAAAGACAAAGACAGAGCAAAGATAGTCGGGTAAGTTTGAACCTTATCGGCCAAGGCTGAACTTCTTACAAAATCTATCTTTGTGGCTCTGTCAGAGGTCTGAAAGCTTTTAGAGGGGTTGACGGGGGAGAAGAGGATACAAAATGAATCGATACCACCATGAACAAGGTAGCAGAGCTATTACAGGGGTTTGGGAAGGTTTATCCCGAATGGGATGAAGGCTTGTGCTGACTACAGCTTCGTTGAAGGCAAATCTGGCTTGAGCAGAGTTTTGGCTTTTGTTTGTTTGTTTGAGTGTCTCTAATTCTGTCTTCTCTTCCTCCTTTTATAGACGACTTCAGCTTGGGTTCCTGTAGCAATAGCGGTGCCCGAATGCGGTTTGGTGATGACTCACTAGCTTTTTTACATGAATGCCACCAATAAAGTACTTTATTGGGCTGTGTAGTGACTGAATAGCCTACCCCCTGTGGTCTTTGAGCAGGTAAGCAGGTGGCCTTTGTAACTTGTGCCCAGCCGAAAGCCTCTTTCCTGCCTCCTAAGTTTTCCTCTGGGCCTTGGGTTTGGGCCGACTTTCTCTCTGGCCCAAAGTTCAGATTTTATCCCAAACAGTGCCCCCTTCAATTGATGTTAAGGTTGGGATCCCAGGCGCCAATATTAATTGAAAGAGACCCCTGTTTTAAACCCTTAGAACTCTTAGAACCCTTGTGAGTGAACTTCTCCGTTCTCTGTGTTTCGTAAAAAGAAAACCTTCTCTGATACAACAAAACTTCCCCAATTCTTTCATCATTTCTTTCTCGTTGTCCGACGAGGTTGCATCTTTACCGTTCTTCTTGTTTTTCTTCCCCACGGCCTTCATTAAATGGCCTCAGGATCCGGCCAAACCTTACCATCCTACGAGTCTGGTGAAGGAATTGCCACTCTACGCCGTCTGCTCAACGGGCTGCATCGTCCGCGGGCAGGTCTACATTCTGAACTCTTCTTTGAGATACATAGGGTTCAATCTTTGGGTCCTGCCTGGATTTCTCGGGTTCCCTCAGTAGAAGAAAGTAATATGCCTAGGGGAAACTGGTTTACCCCAAATCCTTATTTGGCCGACTCGGGCATTTCTTCTTCTAAGTGGTCTTTTCATCGTCGAGGCTTTCCCTTGGTGAATGATCTTGCCTGGGCCCAGTGGATTGACGAATTGGAACCTTCCTTCAAGCAGAAATGGATGAGTAACGGCATCTACGAACTGATTATGCTTTCGAAGATTTCAATTACCCCTAAGCCCGAATTGCTTGCTTCTGCCCTCCTCTTTTGGAATACGGGCACAAACACCTTCGATTTCCGTATGGGTCCCATGTCTCCCACCATTCTTGATATGGCCCAAGTCTTCGGGTTGAGGCCATCGGGCAGGGTGATAGATGTTACTCAAGATTGGATTCCATCCTCTACCACCGGGGGCTCAAGTTCTTCCACCTACTTCCTTCCTCTCAGCTATAACTCAGTTACTTTCAAAAGTTATGGGACCTCCTTTAAAGGATTCATCCCTTTTGTCAAGAAGAACTTCGGGGCAGGCTCTCCTCAAGCCGACAAAGATCAAGAGCATATGTACTTTCTTCTTTACTGGCTTAACAAACACGTCTTCCCCAACAAATCCAAGGGGGTACGGGTAGAATGGATCCCCTTGGTAGAGGTTCTTCACAATTTTGATGACGTTGCCACAGGTCCATTCCTTCTCTCCCATCTCTATCACCTTCTTTTTGACATGACCCGGGATGAGCCCTTTGAGACCAATTTGAACGGCCCCATCTGGATGATACAGATTTGGCTACAATGGTATTTTCCAGAATTTCGGGCTATCAATCTAGAGTTTCCAGAGGGTGTGGCTCCTGCCCGAATCCTGGCTGAAGCTCCTCCTGTAGATCATTCCACCTTTGCATGCTTCTACTTTTTCCGAGTCTGCAGGACTCGGTCAGACTTGGAATGGGGTGCATCGGTCTTGAGGAGATATCCTTGGTTTTCTGACCAAGCCTTCCAAGATGCCCCTGGTGAGGATGCTGCTCCCTTCTGCAGGGAAAAGTTTATCAGCTGTATTCAGCCAAGAGACTTGGCCTGGGGGGTCCGGGGAAATCGGTATGATCGAGGCTTGGAGGTGTATCATCCTAACTTCTGCAGCAGGCAGTTAGGATTTAGGCAATCCATACCTGTCCCATTCTTCGACTCCATCCATTGTGGCACTTCATTTCGGTTACAGACTCCTTCTGAAGCAATATTTCGAGCTGCCCGCCGTAGTTTGGACGTGATGAGCCAAGCAGCCCGACATTCCGTTGTTCTTAATTTCGAATGTACCTCGCTGTTTTCCTCTTGGTGGGAGGAAATGTGGACTAGAAAATACGGAGGAGATTTGAAAGTGAACCACGATCGTATTTTCAGCCAGCTTTCTCTTAAATCATATCCTAGCTCGAGCGAGCTTGCAAATTGGAAAGATATGATCCAAGAGAAAAACCGATTACTCCTAATAGGTGACTTTCTTCCCATCCGATTTTTCTTTCCTTGTTGTTTACTTTCCTCACTCTTACCTGTTTCTGCAACTTCAGTTGATACTGAATCCGAAGCCATCGAATCAGAGAATGATTCTGCTGATGCCGCAGTTCTTCATGGTGCTGCAGCAGAAGCTGAAAGGCGGGAAGCCGGGGAAGGGACAGACGTCTCAGAATCTCTTGGGGATTCAGGAGCCGAAGAAACAATTAAAGAAATAGCCAAAGATACGACCAAAGCATCTAAACGAAAGAGGGTGGCCATAACTAAAACCACAATCTCTGATCCGGCACTTCCTTCAGCAACCACACGACCAATTCTTACCCGAAAGAGTAAGCGGGCAAGAGTCACCGTGCCTCCTAAACCAGCAGCCCCATCTGCTCCTGTTTCTGAAGCGGGTAAAGAGACAGAACAATCTTCCAGTGAGTCTCTCCTCTTCTGGATCAAATGGCTACCTTTCTCCCTTATCTGATTATCCCTTTATCACTCAACAGGACCTCAAGCTTCTAAAAGGTCAACCCTTGCTTCTAAGAAGGAATCACGAAGGGCTGCTACGCTTAAAGAGGTATGACTTCTATCTTTATACTTTCTTATTTTCAAACCTTTCTGAATTTTGAATAATTTGGCTTAGGCTACAAGGAAAGAAAGTCTTTCTCCGCAACCTGCCCTAGATGCAACCCCTTCTTCTCAATTTGATCCTTCCACAGGAATCATGTTGCATTTTGTGGATGAGGATGATACTTTGGTGAGTTACTCTTTCTTTTCATTTCAACTTTGCACATTGCTACCCAAGTAACTCCTATCCATGTTCTTTGCAGCCATCTTCGGGATATGAACCCCTTTCCCCGTCAGTGGCCTTGGATAAAGAACCCATAGTTCCTGAGATCCCTGTAGCTTTAGACACAACTATTTCGCAAGCGCTTACTCGCCAGACGGTCGATGAACCTCCTTCTTCTCCTCAAGATCAACCTCAGGTGCTGGAATATTTTCTTCTTGTTTCTTCCTCTGGTGACCTTTTGCTGATCATCACTACTTTCTTCGGATACAACCAGGATGTAGGCACAGGTTCAGGCACAACTTTCCCATCTTTCGCTGGTGGTGAAAAATCTTCACCTCGACAAGGAGTTAGTGCATTCTCTAGTGAAACCCCGGGGTTAAGTCAGGTAACTTCCTTCTCTCCAAAGCCTCTTTTGTTTTGACTTGTGTATAGTTCATCTTGTCCTGATCCTGAAGTTTTGTAGCGAGCTTCCCCAAAAGAAACTTCCCCTCCTCCAATGGCCCGTAACCCAAGGTGCTTTCAACCTCCTTCTTCCTCTGGAGATGTTGACACCTCCCTGTCTAGAAATGAACCGATTGAACAAACAGAAATTGCCCCTTCCATAGGCATTATCTCACCAGAAGAAACTGTTATGCCGGACCCTTCTCCTTCCTCCTCTGATCCTGCCAAGTTGCCCAAATTCTTCGAAGCACTCGGGCGACTTGAGACGCGGTTGAAGTTTTCAAAGCAGGCTTCAACAAAATCTATGTCTTCGGAGCAGCAACAAATCTTTCAAACATGGGCAAAGAAAGAATTCACTGCATCATTTAGCCTCAAGGCTCTCTGTGACCTCGAGAGAGTCATTACTGAGTTCTTTAAAAACGATCGCTTATCCAAGCCTCAGTATGATTCTTTCCTTTCTTTCTTTGAAAACTTGAGGGCCCTCAGGGAGCAACATCAGAGAGCAGACCGGCTGGCTAACCGGGCAAAATGCTTCATAGAGAGAGAATCGAGCTCCTCTACCCAAGTTAGTCGGCTGATGGAAGAAAGTATGCAGACCAAAGAACGGATTGAAGTTGTTTCTTCTGAAATTCAGAAGTTGGAGAGACAACTGATGATCCTTAAAGCGGAGCAAACAACTCTTCTGGATAACCTTGAGCAACAGATCGAAGGGGTGGAAAAAGCGACTTCAGAGTTAGAGCAAACCAAGTCTGAACTTGTAAACAGCCATACTGTCTTGGCTGAACCAAATAGGATTTTTACCATCATGCGAACATACCATTCTAGAATAATCACCTTATGTGAAGATGTAAAGTTTTTGGAATAGAATTACTTTGTAATCTCTTTTTGTTTTAGAATGGATATGTAACATTCCTCCTGTTCTGCTCCATTTGGATAGGCCTCAGGCAACTCTATGCCCCCTTGCCTACCTGCTTTTCTCCTCCATCTTTATTGTTGGCAATCTTAGCCCCTGCCCCCGGGTCCTTTCAATGGCATTTTACTCTGTTGATAACCCCGACTCCTTGAAAACGAGGTCGATCATGCTAATAGGAGCTTCGGGGAAATGGTTAGTATCCACCATCATACTAGCCTGAGGTGAATCGAGTAGTAACTTCCCCTTCACTATAAGATCCTGTACCCAGTCCCTAAACTGGACACAATTGACTATAGAGTGGTTGAAGGTATAATGCAACTTACAATACTTCTTCCCCCTGAGTTCCTCGGGCTTGGGCATCTTTTTGGTGCTGTCGGGCAAAATGACTCTTGCCCGCACAAGTTCTTCATAGATTTCTGGCGCCTTGGTTAGATCGAAAGAATAACTTTGATACTTTGGGGGTTTCATGGGTACGAACCCACCATCATTCATCACGATCTTCTGGTCCTTGACTGGTTGGACTAACCCTTTGATCGTCAATGGCTTGAAGGGTGTGGTCATCTCAGCAGCACACACATCTATACTCTTCTCCTCATGATCATCTTTGCATTCGGGTCCGGCTTCCCCTACCTCTACATGGTGAATAGTAGCTTTATTTTTGTAGAACGGAGGAGTTTTGGAAGTATGTTTTACCTGTTGTTCCTCCTGTAACAGCCTCTCATACTTAGTAGCAGCAATCACCAACTCTTGTAGCTCATTAAACTGTGCATCATAGAACCTTTTTCTCAAAGGTAATTTTAAAGCCCTTTGAGCAATGGATATGAGCTGTGCCTGGTTGACAGGGAACTGACATCTCATCCTTGTCCTCCTGAACCTTATCATAAAATCTTCGGTGGACTCATGATCATATTGTTTCACTTCTACCAGATCATTAATGGTGAGCTCTGGCTCTATCCTGTAGAACTGTTCATGGAAAGCCATCTCCATTTGCCCCCAGTTAGCAATGAAATTGGGGGGTAATAGAGAATACCATTGAGATGCCAATCCTGCTAGTGAATTTCCAAACAACCTCAATTTGTAGTTTGGATTGTCCTCATACGCCACACAGTGATTAGAAAATTTGAAAATATGATCTCTGGAGGACACACTGCTATCTTCCCCTGTGAAAGTCGGGAATGCGGGCATCTTGAAATTAAGAGGGAATGGATTTAACTCATCGATATATTCAGGATATGGCTTCTGGTAGGTAACCCTGAATACTGGACGAACTCGAGGCTGGGCGTTTTGAATCACCGTTCTTCTTAACTCAGCCAATTCTTCTCTTAGTTGCTGAGTAGCTAAATTATCATTCTGGCCATGGATAGCTGACTCAATCTTCGGACTCCGGTCATTGCCCGCGTTTGCTTCCCTCCTGGTTTCAGATTTCTCCAGTTAGATCCTCCACCTTTGTTGACCATCGGGGGTGGCCTATAAGGTAGAGGTTTATCTGACGTAGTAGTGGTTGTTTCTTTCCAGCTAGTTTCTCCAGCCGTGGCTGGCAGTCCAAACTTCATTCTTTCTTGTTCGCTCTGCCTCCTATTATTAAATGATAATAATGGGAAGCTGGGAAACTCCTTTTCTGAAGCTGACTCCATCACTGCTTGACTTCCTTCAGGTATCACCTTCTTCTTTCCCTTATCCTTTTCTTCTTCTAGTAGTGGAAACAAAGGAATGATTGGCTCACTTCTTATAACAACTGGACTCATTCCACTTCCTTGAGCACCCTTTGGAGTAGAGAACTCCAAGTCCAGCCTCCTTTGTAGATTTCCTGTAAGCATGCAGAGTCTGCTTACTTCTCCCTTAGTCTTCAAGGAAATTCTTTCCATGCTTTTCAACACTTGGATCATTGTAGCTTGCAGTTCTTCATTAATCCATTTCCCCTGTGATTTCTCAGATGCAGTCGAACTACCTGAGACCACCTGTCCGGATGGGGATAAAGGATTTTCTGATTGTTCTGTCATCTGGAAAAGATCCTTCTTGGCTTCTTTTTTGGCAAGTTTATAGCTTCTCTTTTTGGAAATGTAAGATCTTAGAAGTGTAGCTGTTTCTTGTCCCACTGGGCGTGCCAAAACTATGTTCGTCGCAGGAATCTCCTGGCGGACGAGCACACAGCTCCCCTGGGAGAATGGCGTCGGTTGAGGGTATCTGTCGTACTTCTGCTTTCTTCTCGGGCTCGCTCGGGCAAGCCTTTGTCGGGCAGATCTTGGTCGGGCAAGACACACTTCGGGCAAGGCTCGTCGGGCAGTTCTGAAAGAGAAGGACAGAGTTAATTTGAAAGGGTGCCTTTGTGGGGCCTTAGGTGTAGGCCTTAAGGCTCACAATCAAGATTAACTTTGTCGTGCTCAGGCGTGCCACTACCATCTTCAGTATGGTAGATGTTGAATGGGTGTTAAGCTTTGATTGAATATGTATACGCCCGAGAAACCAAGTTAGATATAACAGGTGCCTTTGTGGGGCCTTAGGTATAGGCCTTGAGGCTTCCTGTCAAACTAAACCAGCGCTTGGATGTATCATATTTGGTCTTTTATGGTTGCCAGAGTTTTATCACTATTATACCTTTGATTATCTGAATCCAAGAGGTAGGACGAACCCAAATGAGTGTCTTTGTAGGGCCTTAGGTATAGGCCTTGAGGCTTCCCATCAGAGTTAATCCTTATACTCGGACCAACTAGACCGCAACATGAAATGAAGCTAAATAGATGCCTTCGTGGGGCCTTAGGTGTAGGCCTTGAGGCTTTCTATCAGAATTCACTTCATGCTTAAGCCTTTTCTACGAATCAAGATATAATAGCAACAAAACGGAGAAATAGATTGATTACTTGCGCCCCAAGTAACTTCGGACTTCTCGCTTATCAAGGATTGTCATGGATGGGTTGAGTCCACATAGAGTTCTTTTTTATGCCTTGAGGCCAAGGACTTTTAAACTGATCTTTAAATTACATGCCCCCCGGGCTTAAGACTTAGATCTGATTTGAACTCTGACGCGATTCAGATCGGATTCAAGTGCTGAAGACTCATTTTCATTATGACATTGCTAGAAATAACTTGTATATAACTGGGAATATATAACATGTTATTGTGCTTTTAAAAGAAAGAAAAGACAAAGACAGAGCAAAGATAGTCGGGTAAGTTTGAACCTTATCGGCCAAGGCTGAACTTCTTACAAAATCTATCTTTGTGGCTCTGTCAGAGGTCTGAAAGCTTTTAGAGGGGTTGACGGGGGAGAAGAGGATACAAAATGAATCGATACCACCATGAACAAGGTAGCAGAGCTATTACAGGGGTTTGGGAAGGTTTATCCCGAATGGGATGAAGGCTTGTGCTGACTACAGCTTCGTTGAAGGCAAATCTGGCTTGAGCAGAGTTTTGGCTTTTGTTTGTTTGTTTGAGTGTCTCTAATTCTGTCTTCTCTTCCTCCTTTTATAGACGACTTCAGCTTGGGTTCCTGTAGCAATAGCGGTGCCCGAATGCGGTTTGGTGATGACTCACTAGCTTTTTTACATGAATGCCACCAATAAAGTACTTTATTGGGCTGTGTAGTGACTGAATAGCCTACCCCCTGTGGTCTTTGAGCAGGTAAGCAGGTGGCCTTTGTAACTTGTGCCCAGCCGAAAGCCTCTTTCCTGCCTCCTAAGTTTTCCTCTGGGCCTTGGGTTTGGGCCGACTTTCTCTCTGGCCCAAAGTTCAGATTTTATCCCAAACAAATACCATACCAAATGATTCGATTTGATACAATTATCGTCTCATTAATATTCGGCACAAAATTGATATGATGAGTTATTGCAATTAAGGTTAGGCTCGATTTGATACAGTTCGATTTTTTACCAAAATCGAAATCAAACCAAAATTTCGATTCAGTTCGGTTTGTTTTTTTCGGATCGGTTTTTTGAAATCTGAAATTTTTGAATGAAAAAAATTGAAATCTTATACTAAAGTAACTTTAACATGAAATCAAAATCAACATGTATGACCAACAAGGAAAGAACATAAAAGAACAGTCATGTCCCTATCTCCGATTTTCCATTCATTTTGATGCAGTTAATGACTTAATTACTTGATCAATTTTGCAAAAATAATACCAAAAAAGCTAAGAACACACCTCTAAACTGCAATTCCCTCACTCCCATCCATCAATAAATGAAGAATTGGACCCATCAAATTCCACAAACAGGTTCTCAAAATCCCAGAAAACCATCAAAATCTTCAATCAAGACAAAGAATAATCAATCAAATATTACAATTTCTGAAACATAAGTTTTCTCCGATTATGCATGCATTAATCAAATATTACGTTCATTCATCTGAAATTCAAATAACTAACAAACTCACAACACAAAAATCGAACAGATATGCAATACGAACCAAAACAACAACCCATAAATTTACACTAAAATTTCAATCTCCTTCTTTGGAATTTACCCTAAAAAAACCCATAAATCGACAAAATAAATAAGAAAGACTGGGGATCTTAGCCTGGAGTGAAAAGATCAAGAAATGGAGCGACCAATCGTGAAGGGAGGGCTGGCTGCGGGTTATGGAGAAGAAGGGAGAAATTGGAGGCAGGGACATGGAAGGAGTCTGGAGGGGACGAGAGAGAGAAGAGGGGAATGAAAAAGAAAAAGGTGCGGCTGCTGCCCTAATTCCAGTGGCTAGGACCTTGTTAATTTCTAATTCCACAAAAGAGTATAGATTTCAATCCCTATAAATAGTATAGTCGTACAATCTTTACAAAACAGAACCGCTTGTCGAGTTGGGTTGAGCGAAGCATTTCAAGCTAAACCGCAGGGGTTCGAACACTGCTGCCAGTAGGGGTGGGTTCGGTTTAATTCGGTTCGGTTTTTTGCCAAAACCGAAACCAAACCGAAATTTCGGTTCGGTTTGGTTCGGTTCATTTTTTTTTCGGTTTTTTTCGG